AAATTCTGTAAAATCTGTGGTAATGTCTCCTAGATCTTGATATTGTAATTTTTAAAAATGTATAACTGATATTGTGTAACAGGAAGAAAAGGTCTAAAAGAGCAGGGGAATTGGGAAGCGTAGGGGAATGGAAAAAAGGGAAAGGAAAAAATATGAGAAGAGGAAAAAAATGGAAATAAAGTCTTTGCAAATAGGGAAGGGTGGAGGGGGTGAAGGGAGGCCAAGGGAAGGGGAAAAAAACAGAACCAAGAGACTCATGTAATGGTACAAGATCCCAATGGTGAATGTAACTGTATTGTACACCTAAAATGTACCAATAAAGTTAATGGGGAAAAAAACAAAAACGAATTGACCCCAGAATCTTTGCACTGATCTACATCCCCAGCCCTATTTTATTATTTTATTACAAAGTCTTGCTAAGCTTCCCAAGCTGGGCTCAAACTTTCTGTCCTCCTGTCTCAGCTTCCAAGAGTGCTAGGATTATAGGCATGTGCCTCTGCTCCTGGGCATGGTCTGTTGCTTTCTCCATTTTACCCCATTCCCAGTTTCCCCTTCCTCATTGCATCCACAGAGAAGAGGCTGTTCTGTCTGCAAATCCCTCCTGAAAGCCTTACATATAAGACTGTCCCACTATATCTGTGGATAAGAGAGAAGCATCCTTCTGGGCAACTCAGGAGTTGTAAAAAGAGGTATGACAGCTGAGGGCTCCTGAAAAACTGTTCCTAAGGAAAAGCACAGTGAAAATCAGGACACACCCCTCTTGGATGAAGGTGTCCACTGCTATGAGTGAGTCCTCCCCACATTGACCATTTCATATCTCTAAGACAGCAAATCCCACTTGGAACCCAGAACCATTCAGAGGCAACAAATCCCATCTGCAGGCAGAGGAGTGGAAGCAGTGTGAGTGATATCTGGTCATGTCTATGTGTTAAATTGAGAAGATAGAGGTGACAATACAGCAACAGTCATATGTTGTTTAACAAGGGGAATGTATTCTGAGAAATGTATCCGCAGGTGATTTCATCATTGTGCAAACAACACCAAGTGTACTTACACAAACCTAAATGGTATAGCCTATTACACCAGGGCTATCTGGTACACACATGCATGCATGAACATGCACACACACACACACACACACACACACGAGACTCACTAAACTGGAGATATGTGAGACTGCTGCAGGCATCACATGACAGACTGTTTTACAGTAGTCGTTTATAAGTAGCAGGAATGCACTCTAAAATAATGATAAAAGTAGTAAATATGCAAAGCAATAATGCCATCATTTATTAACTATCGAGTATTATCTGTTGTACTATTGCATATGCTGTGTGTGTTAATACCACCATCACTGCACACACAGGAGTGATGTGTTGTGCCACCACATTGCCCCAGACATGATACCACTAGGTGACAGGAATTTCCCAGCTCTGTTATAATCTTATGGGGCCACCTTTGTATACTTGGTTCACCATTGACCAAAACATTGTTATACAACATATACTCTATTTTAGTATTTTAGCTACTTTGTCTACTGATGTTCTAAAATTTCCAACTTTTTTTTTTCTGGTGGTGGTTCTGGGGATTGAACCCAGAGCCTTTGCACTGAGCTACATCCCCAGCCCTTTTTTATTTTGAGACAGGGCCTCACTAAATCACTAAATTGCCCCAGCTGGGTTCAAATTTTTAATCCTTTTTCCTCAGCCTCCCAGAGTGCTGGGATTACATGCATGTGCTCCTATTCCCGGCCCAATTTGCTATGATTAAAATAATGAAAATTTTTGTCCAAGAATGGAGGTAGCCCCTGATTTGTCAGATTCTAAGACAAAATTGAAGATTACTTAGTTCAGAATACAGAGATCTTTGAAGCTCATGTTATTCAATGGGGACAAGATGGAGAAGTTACTACGCTGAGAAAAAGCTAGAAGCAGAAAGTCCAGGTATGGGGGCTGTGGAAAAAGAGACAGCTTTGGCTGTAGCATATTCAGGAATAGCAGGAGGAAAAGAGGAAGAGATGGGTCTACAGAGGAGGTGGGGCTGGAGTGTGAACTGCAGTTTGGGGGTCTGTTCTTTGTCCTGGAGGAGGAGCTGGAGGCAGGGTTTGGGTCAATGGGTCAGAACCTCTGTCTAAATTTTATTCAGTAGCCTCAGTCTTCACTCCTACTCTCTTTTCCTGTTACATCCAAATCCCCTCAGCTACCTCACCTTCCCCATATCTCCCTGTCCATCCAAGAATAGGATATGGGAAGGTGATATAGCTAGGTCAACTGAGGCCAGGGATGGGAATAGAGTGGGAAATGAGAGGAGCATCTCATCTTTCTGCTCTGCAGGCCCGGGAGCTGGGCTATTGCACCAACATTCATAAGATGGAGCACTGGATCCAGGTGTCCCAAACATCTGGATCCACCAGCAGTAGCATCTCCCAGAGCACTCAAGCTGACCCGTTTCAGAATTTGGCCCTCATGCCCTACTAAGCAGTGTTCTCAGTGAGATTTTGGAGACATTTGTCAGAGTATGTCAAAGCTCTAGGTTGTCCTGATTATAAAGTAGGTACCACTGACATGCAGTAGATAGATCCCAGGCATGCTGCTAAATATCCTACAATGCACAGGACAGCCTCCTACATCAAAGAATTATCTCCCTAAAATGCCAGTAGTGTTGAGGATGAGAAGCAAGTGCTGTTCCAAAGGCTTAGGTTTCAGACAGAGCAGAGAAGCAGGAGCCCTCACCCTGTCTTCCAGCACACCCCAAGTTAGCATCCTCTCCAGAGGCAGCTCTGGGAGGGAACATTGCGGCGAGTGAGTTCCTACAAGTGACACTTTGTAGCATGGGAGTGAGGGTACAGAGATGGGAATGTTACCCATAAAGTAAGGGGACTTCAACCTCCCTACTGTCCCCACTTAGCCCCATCCAGCAACAAGGGCACTGGGCAAGAGTTGTTGGTAGTTTCTGTGTCTCAACAACCTGTCCTTTGAAAGAGTCAAGTGATCCAGTCCCAGGTTAGTGGGATCTTGCCTCAGCAATCTAAGTCCCCAAGTGGTTTATACAGCCCATAGTTCTTATTTCCTCCAGCTTCTAGCTGGGTGTGTTTGTGTGAGCATGTGTGAGTGTGTCTGTGCGTGCCCACACACATGGAAACAGGACTCACTTTAGCAGGAGAAAACCTCCCTTGGGAGTCACCCATGTCCACCTGTCCATCCGTGGGCTCAGCTCTCTATCGACTCTAGGGCCACATTATCAGAAGCCAATGACAGATGCTCAGTAGGTAAGAAGGCAGTGGTAATACAATGAGCAGCAGCCCGTGCTCAGACCAGACTGAGCCACAGGCATTGGGGTAAGACCATCAGAATTGAGGTGTGGCTATATGCCCTCCCCCAGCTCCTTCATTAACTTGTCCTTCCACCTGTCCCTGTCCTCACCTCTAAAATGAAATAATGACAGCAGCTCATATTTGGAGACCATTTAACATGTGCGAGGCACCTTACATGCATGCCATTCTCACAACAGTTCTATGAGAATGTTCATTACCAATGATATGGGTGAGGAAATGAAGGGGAAATGGCTGGTCCCAAGTCACATGGCCAGCAAACAAGGGGGCTAGTACTGGAACACAGCCTGTGTAACACAGGCTGTTCCAAGGACAATGTGAGAGTTCTCAGGACATCAGTACATCAAAGTGGGGAGGGGTCCTAGAACACAGGGCTCCATGTAGGCCCATTTATTAATGGTGGTAATTCAAATTAGGGAATGGTTGCCCACCTGGTGGGCCCATACTGCCAAAGGCTAGCAGGCAGATGCCCATGTAAACACGCCTTAGACCTACAGCCAAATGCTCTGCTACTGTTGGCTGGGTAGGCCAGGCCTTGCTAAAAATAGAGGCCACTCAGGTCCAGCTGGCTGACAGCAGCAGGCAGCTCCAAACCTCACCCTCCTCTCTCCCTCCTCCTTTGCTGTCTGGGCAGGAACTCCTCTTCTAGAAGAAATAGAGATTTCAAGACTTTCATTTCATGCCAAAGAGGAGTTTAGCTTGATACCCAGTGGGCATGACCCAAATTCTGGAAGAATCGATAACCAGGTGTAGGTCCTGACCACAATACCCCACCCAGATCTGTCCAAAGCCCACCCAGGAAATGAATGCAGCCGAAGCCAAAGCTTGGCCCGCGACTGCACAACTTGCCATTCAACCTGGAGCCCCTTGCTGTCTTGCTTGTCCCGAACAGACGCCCAATGTTGGCAGCGCTGTGCGATTTCTATATTGGCCGGTGGCTTCTCTCTGGAGGCCTGTTCCGGGCGCTCTGGGGACGCCCCATCCCAGCTGACCGGGATGAAGCAGCACCCAGCCAAAGTGAGAAGAGCCGTGGAGGCCAGGACCTGCGCTTCAAGCGCATGGGGTCAGAGGCCAGGGGAGCAGGGAGGGAGGTCTGGAATGGCCTCTGCGGACTGCCCACCGAGGCCTTGGCGCAGGTCAGGACTCGGGCCGGGGATTTCCTTTCAAAGGTGACTTAGAGCCGCTCCATTAGGATAACGCCCTCCCGGGCGGGCCCTAATGGCGTGTTTGGCAGAGTCAGCGAAACGCGGCGCCCAGCGACTCGGGCGGCGGGGCAGCGCCCTCTCCCGCGTCCTCGCCCGCTCCCGCGCCAGGTCGGGCAGCGGCGCTCACGGGGCCATTTGCAGCGCAGGCAGCCTCACGAGCAGCTGCGGCGCGCCGGCCGGGAGGGCGGCGGCATCATGGAGCTGAAGAAGGACAGCAACGCCGTGGCCATCGACATGCTGCTGATCGTGCATTCGGAGAAGCTGCGCGCCGCGGAGGGCACGCACTTGAACCCGCAGGCGGAGCCCGACTCGCGCCTGCAGCGCGGAGGAGGTAAAGCTCGCCGGGTCCGGTCCCCGGGACCCCGAGCACCCTGACCTTCTTGCCCCAAGACCCGCCCGCGGGAGGGCGCCCCATGTGCCCCTGAATGAGGTCCGCTATCCCATCACTCTTCCCCACAGCAGCCTGTGTCTACGGGTGCGTGGCAACGGCGTCTCGAGGCAAGTGTAGACCCGAGATTGAGGTTGACTCTTCATGCAGGCCTGAGGGGACTTCTGTCCAGTCTCTTGGGGTGCCCTGTTTTCTCCCAGCCACTCCCCGAAGGGTGCAGACCTGAGTTGGAAAATTACCTGGAGAAAGGGCCTAGAGCCCCAGCCTGACCCCATCAGTGGCCTGCTCCCCACACAGCACCCTTCCCCTCAAGTGTGCTCAGGGGAAATCCGTGTCCAGTCAGAACCGTGGTGGCCTTGCACAACTGAAATACTAAGTTTCCCTGCTTTTGAGCCTCTCCTCCAGCCTCCTGCAGTTACAAGGCCTGAAAGGGATTAAAGGAACACAGGCTTAGGTGGGATGGAGTTTGAAATCTGCCCTCCACTCTTGAACTTATCCATCGATCTTACTTGTCCAGAAGATGTCCTGAGAAGTGACACTGGTACAATAGAGACTGATTATAAAGTGATAGTGGAAGGCAGGACCCCAGCCTCTACTCTCCAGACACACAGGTGAATAGAGTATAAATTGTTAATAATGGAAGCTAGAATGCTGGGGACCTCGAGGTCCTGCATCTCTGAGGAAGCCTCTGGGACAGGTGTGAGGGCATGCCACTTCTTCAGCAGTGAGGCTTGATAGCCCCTGCAGGAAAACAACTTCTGCCCCCACCTCTCCTCCAGCTCTAGAGCTCCTAGGAGCTCCTGCTGCTGTTCTGTCCCTGGCTTTTTTTGACCCCAGACCTCCTGTGCTCATGGAACATCCAAAAAGCAAGGTTCTGTGATGACCCACCCCACCCCCCACACAAGCTGGGGCTGCCCCACAGCTCCTGGGGAGCACTTGGGGAGGCAGTCAGCAGAACAAAATGGACTGGAGGACTGAGAATGTGGACAGGTGTGCCAGTGTTGGGAGGGATTTGGGGGTCAGGGGTTGTTTAGGTTAGTTGGTTCTTTAGTTCCACAGGGTAGTTGTATGTAGGAAATCAGCAGAGGCCATCAATTTCTTGATAGAAATGTGACTGTTCCTACTACCCACCCCCAATCCAGAAGGTTTCCCCTAGGGTGTGCTGGGTGAGGCTCAGTTCAAGGTCAACCCAAAAGTTCCCACTTCCTTCCCCTCTGATAACATCTGCCCTAAGGACTCTGACATCAAGGAGGGAAAAGAACACAAAGAAAGCCAGGAAATTCGAGATGTCAGTTCTGCCCTGAGGGCACAACTCACCCCCCCCCCCATGACTTCAGTCTCAGAGGAGAAAGCACCTACCCCTACTTGATAGGTTCTGTTGCCTTTCTACAAATATTTTCCTAATAGAAATTTCTCAAAGATGTGTCACCTATTCACATCAGACAGTTCTGCATCATTGTGGAGAACAGGGAAAGTGCGTGGCTTCTGAAGGCTGGGGGGCAGTGACATTCTGAGACCCCAGGCTAAGCCAGCTTGAAGGTCCACTCCTCAGGACACAGCCTTGGGAAAGAAAACACTGAGCCGGGCTATCTTGTTCCAAGGCTTCCCAAGGATGCATAAAATCCCAAACAAATCCCTGTCTGCTTCTAGCTATCTTTTCTATGGGCTGGTTCTACATGAGAAGCAGCTCTTCCTTGTCTCTGCAAAGAAAAGAGTAAAGTTCAGTTTCTCTGAACAGACACTGTGATCTTGTGGCAGAAAGGATTACAAGGACAAGAGGGCAAGAAAAGGACAGTCAGGCTGGTCACTGGGGACTTGGGCTGCAAGGCTGTCTTTCCTTCCCTCTGTAGGTCTAGCAGTTTCCCAGCTATTTTCTTAGAGCAGCAAACACTTCTCAAGAAAACATTCTTCGGAGAGGAGAATTCCTATCTTCCTGCAGCAATGGAGGAGGAAGCCAAAAGCTGCCTGCACCAAATCTCTAGGTTTTATCCCGAAAGTCTGTGGGACTCATACATTCTACCACATGAGTATATCAGCCAGGGTTCCAAGTGGAAGGAGGAGGAAACCTCCGAGGCCACCAAGGAGGTGCACTAGACCCTCTTTCCATGCCAGAGACTCACTTTTATTGCAGTGGCTCCTGCTGCCAGAACGTAAGTCAGTTCATTCAGGAACTCGATCTTGCAGTTACCACTTCTACCTGCTGCCAAAGAATTACTCTTCCCTTCCCCATTGCATCATCCCCAGACTTGGGTACAGGTGCATCTGCTTGGCCAGACCTAGGCCATGCTTTAGCTGCAAGGGAGGCCAGGAGAGCAGGCAATTGCCACTTTCCACTCCCATCAGGATACGCAGGCTTTACCCACCCTTCTCATTCCACATCAAGACTGTGGAGGGAGGAGAGGTTGGGGCTGAAGGGGTGCGACACATTTAGAAGTAGGCAGGCAAATGGATATGGAATATCTTCTAAAATAATGATTTTGTATTTATGCAATGGAGATGTGGGAGTAGAAAATGAGCATCCATATTGTAAAAATTCTCCCAGGATAATTCTAAACAATCAACTCACCACCACTGAAAATTACTATTTTAACTTTTTTAAATGTTTGAAATTTTGAGAGTTGCTTTCATGTCCCAAAAAGCATCCCATTCAAGGGCAGCTTCCCTTGGATCCCAAGTGAGCCAAGTTCCATCGGTCCTGCTTTGACTTAGACAAGTCTGCAGCTGATGCATGGCTCACTTGCCTTGGTCTCCCACCGCAGAGAACCTCACACTGATGATCATCTTTGTCATTTCACAGGATTCCAAGGTGTCAGCAATGGGACCCGGAAATGGCAGAAATTAGAAGGAAATGACCTTCATGGTAAATTCTCTTTTTCTTTCTATTTTATTTTTAAACTTTGGAATTCATTGTATTGAAAAATAACTGGAAGAGCTAGGTTGCATTCGTTTAGAGACTAGCCCTAACCAATAACCACTGAGCAAAAGGTGGCTGCTTGGACTCAGCCAGGCCCCTCTAGGGCTACTGTGACCCTGGAAAATTTTCCCCGGCAGCAGGGACCCTACGGTTCTAGAGACTGTTGTTGGGGACCAATACCATAAACTGGACCCCCTACTTGTTTGATTGCTGAGCTATAGGGGAGGGCCTGATCTTACTTGGGTTGATGAGGTTTGAGTATTCCCACAGGAGGCACAGCTGCTCATGCCATAAAGGCTATTCATCTTTTGATATTTTTTTCTGAACAGAGGACAGTGGTCTGCTTAAAACTGAATTACTTGAAGTCAAGAGAGGCACCAGACATGGGTTCCATAGCTCCCTGATGATCTAGGACCCAGAATACAATAAGAAGTCAGCTTCCAACACCACTTTTCTCTGGTGCCAGGCATCTGTCTTCCCTGCAGTTCCTAGGATTTTCCTGGGAACATTATGGATGGGCTGACTACAGCAAGACTTACTCTGTGCCCTTCAGAGATTCACTAGCCCAGCCTTCCTTGACAGTGCACATGATGGGCACAGGAGTATTCTAATAAGAATCAGATTTCCGCACCCACAGCCTCATTTAGAAGCTCCATGAGAATCCAGCCAGGTGAGCCCTGGAATCCAATGACTGGATTATCAAATGCCAGTCTGAAGGTACCACCCTGCATGACCCTCAACAAATGGGAAATGAGACAACACTTGAATAAAACCAAATAGCTATGCTCTGGAATCCTTCTGACAATGACAAAAGGAAGGATGAAATTCCAACAGTGAATTCATCCTCATTCATTCCTTCAACAAATGTCTTTTGTGCTTTCTTTATACTGGGCACAATTTTAAATGCTGGAGATGAAAAAGGGAACAAAATAGTCAAGAACCCCTGTTTTGGGCCGGGGATTTAGATCAGCGGCACCTCGCCTGCCTCCCAAGCACAAGGTCCTGAGTTCCATCCCCAGTACAGAAACAACAACAACAACAACAACAACAACAAAAAACCCTGTTCTCATGGCACTACATTAAAATTAGTGTAATTATAACAACATTCCCTTAAGTAGAATTTCAATATCCTGGAAGAGAAGAGCTTTCCTATGTCCTTGGCCCTGATCATGAATAGGACTCATCTTTAAGATAAGCCTCCTCTCCCTCGCCAGGGAGACCACCCCTCTCTGCCCTGGCTAAAGGGTATGCATAAGTGCAATGACTTCCTTGCCCTTGTTACTGGGACTGTCAGATGGTAGACCGGCCAGCTGTAGCTTGACTGAGGCAGACACCATAGCTAGGATAGCTGCTGTGGGCTAGTGAGAATTATGATAAGAATAAAACTTCCAGAAACCAGTCAGCCACAGAAATAGCCATGCATGGCACTCAAGCTAGACCAATGTGTGGGTAGGTAAGTGGGCAAAGCAAGCCACAGGTGGGCACAAAGGGACAGTCTCCTTGTTTATTGTAGCTCTCTCCTGCCTTGCCTGAGCCATGTGACATTCATCTTAGGGCTCTCTGGGAAGTATTAAAATATACTGCATTCACCCTGTTTTTTCCATCTTCTAAGTTCCTCATTGGGGGAGGGGGGTTAGTGGGAAGATATTAAAAAAACACTAAGTAATGCAATAACTATTACAAGGCTCACATAAAAGACATAAAATGGGTCTTAATATGATGTGTCAGTCTATAAAGAGTATGATTAAAGTAGCTCTTGCTAAACCACCCCAAAGACTGAGAGTTTGGGGTAAATGCAGGACTAGAGAGAGGCTCTACAGAGGTCCTGAATTCAGAAAAGATGATTCTGCTATTCCACCAATATATGTAGTTTAAAGTAAAGTTTTATTTTTCAAATGGTATGTTTGTATGCATGCAGAAATTGGAATTTTTCTGATGCTAAGATTCAGGGTACAGGTATGGGAGTTGACCATTTCTCATACTTGCCTTGTTTGTACCCAAAGCACCTAATGCTGGTAGCCAGTAGGCTGCCCAGCCCTAACAACTGGATGGCTTTCATCTCAGAAGGAAGCAGCTGATGGCATGTGCTAGTAGTGTGCGCACAAATTTGGCTGAATATGGCATTGGTCCACTGGGGCACATTTTCCCCCTGTTGCTGCCCTGTATACTCCCTGGGCTTGGATGTTGGTGGGGGAGGGGGACTGGAATGCTTCAAACTTTTGGAAGCAGCAGGTGTTTGGGCTAAGTTGCTCCCCCCACCCCCATAGCTTGCCCAGCAACATAGGGCTTCCCCTGTGGTGATTGGCTGCTTTCCTTGGTCCTGGCCAAAGTCTGCCTAGCAGCACAGAGTCTGATGCCCTACAGCTAGAGGGAAACCAGTTGTGCAGCCCTGACTATAAATACCCTTCAGAAGCTATGCCAGCCAATCACACTCCTTGAGGATTCCCTTCATAGATCCTGTTTCCTCCTGGAGATGCAGCCAGCTGTGCCTACAGGAGGCAGCCTCCTGTCCTTGCCTGAGCCTGGCCTGGGCCTCCAGCCCAGCATACCACATCACCCTGCATTGTCACACAGAGTGGAGCTGGACTCACAAACTAGGGACTTCAGGGGCCTGGCTGGGTCCATTCCTAGGAGAAGGTTAGAGCAGGCAGGCTTCTACAGGGCAAGACCCTGGGTGGATCACAAGTCCAGCCCAGCTCAGTACCCTAGCTGCCCACCCTGACTGGCTTTTGCTTGGCTTCTGCTTGGGCTCGGGTACAAGAAGCACTGGGTGGCTGATCTGGTTGGCTGAACAAAGGGACTCATCGAACCTGTTCAGCCCAGCACCACAGAGGGATGCTAGTTCCCGGGCTAGGCACTGGTCTCAGTGGTCACTTCCAATGGCAGGCCCCCTGCAGGGCAGCAGGAGGCCAGAGGGAGATGATGGCAAGCCAGGGTGGTAGTGGTGGCAGAACCTGCTGCTGCTGCTTCTGGGCCTTCCTGAACCCCTTCCATACCCCTCTGAAGCAGGAATTCAAGGGCAGCCTCATTAGACCAGGCCACAGCCACGGCAGCAGCTATAAAGAGGGGATGAAGTAAAGCTCAGGCTTCTTGTAGGAGGGGCAAGGAAGCCTATGTTTTCCCCTCAATGATCTATGGCATGAGCTAGGCATCTCTCTATAGCAGCCTGACACCCTATGCTCTGAGCCATCTCTGTGTCCCAAGGACAGTAATATTCATGTGTGGGGAAAGAATTTGAATATGATACGTGTCCTGCAGTATTTGTAAAACTGAACCAAAGTGTACATCCTCCCAAACCCAAGGCTAGAGTAGGAGGCAGACTCCCACCACCCTATTCCTGTTCTTCTCAGGGGGAAGCAAGAGGCTAAGCTAGAAAACTTCGGGTATCCTCTTCCACAGAAAGGTGTAAAAATCAGAGAGACACCCATGTGTGGGAGAGTACTTTGGAATCTGACTGGGGATGCCAAAGTCAGGACTTCTAGTTCCACAGACCCTGGAAGGTGTCACCAGCTTCTGTGAAGCCCAGCCTGTGCTGGCAGCTGCTGAGAGGTATAAGGGGGAGGTATGTGCACATGGGCTCACAAGCATTGGCCACTTTGTGCAAGTGTGTAATTGAGCTGGTTTACAGGATGTTATATGGTGGTTATGTGAACACAGGTGCACATGCTTAGGCCCAGCCTGTTCATGTACTTGGCCCCTGTCAGCCTGCCTTTCTTGCAGATACACACAGCTTGCCATTCTGCTCAGGGAAAACTCCACCATGGTCCCAGTGGTCACTGCAGGCCTTTCTGTCTTCCTTAAATAGGAAACCTGGCAGAGAAGCAGCACCGTCAGCAGCCCCAGGTCATCACTTCCTATGACAACCAAGGTAAGTGATTCTCTACTAGCTGTGACCTCTCCTGTGGCTGTATGCCTGGGTCTGCCAGTCCAGCCATAGATGGCCCAGGGTGTGGAGCTCAGACTGGGAGGAGCAGGTCCTCCTGCCCTGCGGAGGTTGGAATATCCTTGTTCTCTCTGTATGCCAGAGCAAGCACTGAAAGGCTCTGTGGTCCAAGCCTGCCTTTCACTTGCATAGAGAAATGAAATCCTTGGGACATGGAGCCCCACCCCCATCGTCATCACCATCGTTGTCATCACTACACTTAATATTTATTGAGTGCTAACTATGTGCCAAGTGTTCTGCCAAGTCATTTACACATTTATTCTCGTGTACAGCATTCTGTTTGATAGGTACTCTCACTATCCTTATTTCACAAATAAGTCAACTGAGGCTTGGAAAGTCTGTCAGATATCCAAGATCACATGGCCAGCAAGAGTCAGCTGGCACTCTGATCCCTCTCCCAGAAAGGTCTCAGATATTAATCTCCACATGGCTCGGCTTCTGAAGCTCCCCTGGAAACCAGTCTCCCCCTGCTGGCTCATGATGTCCAAGTCCTCTTTTGTCCTGAGTCATGGCAAGTCCTTGGCTTTGCCTCCGGAGACTGAGCTTTCCCAGGGCATTTCACACACAGCTGAGTCTGCTGCAGCAAGGTGCAGTGATAAGGCCCTTCCTTGGTGATCCTCACTGTCCCAGGACAACCTGTGGGGGTTAGAGGAAGAACAGCAAGCATGTCACCAGGCTGACTACAGTTGACTGGATCTGCAAACATGACACTGTTGCAGGTGAGTCCTGGTTAGACTCCCATGCCCACCTACCATGTTGCATTATGTGCCCATAATGCAACTACATTGTATTAGAGGCTGCAGCCTGGTGTCTGAGGGCTCTCACAGGCTCAGCACTAAGAATTACCATCACTGCTCTCAGTGCTGATGTCCTAACTGCAAGAAATTATCTGATCAAATCAAGGGGGCAATGGTATGACCTTCCTTCCGAAGCAGAAGGCTTTGGGAACTCATAGCCACTTAGGGAGAACCACTTGCTCTCTAAAATGTAGGCAACCCAGTATCTCCACAAGACACTGGCAGGTAGTAATAAAGGGCCAAGCAACCCAGGACTAGCAAGAGGTAGCCATCTCTCTTTGCAATCTGCATCAATATCCTTTTAGGCTCTTATTCCTGGGACTACAGCTCCAGGACAGGTGAGACCACTGACCTCAGAGATACCCTGCTAGCAGAGGATGGATTAGCAACCATTTATCCCACTTAATGAACAAAACAAAAGCTCCTGCCTTGTGGATTTGGCCTCCTTGTGAGGGGAGGCAGATAATCCTAACAAAGAAAATATGAGTCAGATAAGACTGAAGGAGAAAATAAAGCAGGAATGATGATAGGGAATGTGGGTGTATGCAGAGTTGTATATTGGGTTCCTACAGTTGCTGTAGCAAATTTCCACAAACTTCATGGCTTAAAATAATACAGACTCACCATCTTATACTTCCAGAAGCCAGAAGCTCCTGAGCTAATATCAAAGTATCAGCAGGGCTGGTTCCTTTTAGAGTCTCTAGCTGAGAATTCATCCCTTGCCTCTTTCTGCTTCTACTGGCTGCAAGAATCCCTTGGTTTATGGCCGTTATTCCAGTCTCTGTTTCCGTGATCACATTGCCTTCTCTCCTTTTAAGTAGTCAAATCTCCCACTGTCTCCCTCTTATAAGAATATATGTGGTTGCATTTAGGCCCCCACCTGATATTTCAAAATAATCTCACCATCCCCAAATCCTTAATGTAGCCATATCTGCAAAGTGCCCCTTGCTATATAAGGTAACTCTCACAGGTTCCAGGGATTCTGACATGGATATATTCAAAGGCCATTATTCAGCCTACCATGAGGGGACTATATAAAATCAAGTAGTCCTCCACCTGCCTCACAAGCACAAGGTCCTGAGTCCGATCCCCAGTACCAAAAAAAAAAAAAAAACAAGTAGGCTAAGGATATAACTCAGTGGTTGAGCACTTGCCTAGCATCCATGGGGCTCTGGGTTTGATCTCAAGCATGAGAGACAGAGAGAGAAGAAAAGCCTCATTGAGGAGGTGCCACCTGAGCAAGAAAGGAGGTAAAGGGAGGAAAAACCATGAGAACATCTGGGAAGAGCTTTCAGCAGAAGCAGCAAGAAGTGTGAAGGCCCCACGTAGGAGTTTGGAGTATGACTGACATGTTCAGGGAGCAGGTGACTCTGTCAGGAAGGTGAGGGAGGGATGTGCACAGGGTAGGGACAAAGACAAGTCATCAGAGAGGACATGGGGCAGGACTTGCAGGGCCTAAGGGCTCCTTTCTGTGTGCTGGCTTCTAATCTGAGTACAGTTAGAAACCATTTGGTGGTTTAAAACATGACAGCTTCCAGTGGGTGGAGAATAAACAGGAGAAAGTTTGGAAGCAAGAAAAACCCCTAGGAGGCATCCTGATAACCCAGGCAAGAGGTTTTCCCATAATGTAGATTTGAGTTGTAAGGAGAAAAGAAGGAGTCAAGCACTGGGACTTAAGCAGTGTGAAGAGCGGAGGGGCAGGTTAAGGAAGAAACACGGAGAATTCGGGCTTAGCTCTGTTGAGGTTGTGCCAGCAGCTGCCCTTTTGGAAGGCAATGACCAGGGAGTTATTATTCCCTGTGCTACTTTCCTCCTCATTCAATGAGCCTTGAGATCCTTAGGTTCTGTTCTGTGATCCACACTGGCCACAGAGAAGCTCTCTTAGACACTCTTTCTGTCACACTAATAGCAGTGACTTGGTGTGTGGCTGGCATCAAACTAAGTGCCTATGATGGTTCACCTCATTTAATCCCCTCAGCTACATTCTATGGAAGGTTAACACCTCAATTTTACAAATGGGAAACCTGGTTCAGCTTTTTCCCCTCCTCCTTAATTTATCATTCAATGATAGACTTTATGCAACTAGTAACAAAAAAGGCCTTAGATCTTGATGTGAAGGGACTTCAGAAGATTGGTCTGTAATGAGTGTATGTGTTAGACGACAGGACAGTAAACATGAGGGATAGGGAGCCTCAAAGATTATTCTTAAGGAGCCAGTTTTTGGTTGAGTCTTCTGATCATCAGTTCCCCTTCCCATAATGTAGACACTCTGACCATAAGTGAAGCAGCCCTTTTTGTCTGTGCATGTGGTCAGGTCAAACTGCCATGTTTCCAGACCTGGACTTCCCTGTGAAGCTCCCTCCTGCAGAAGGAATCATGAACAACCCAGCCCTGTGGTTTTAGGAGTCCAGTAGAAGCCAGAGGCACGAGGCCGGAAGTAACACCTTTCATCACATACCAGCAGACACTCAGACAGGCTCAGCCCTGAGCTGTGGCACTCTAGGTTGTCATCTCATTACCTGAGCTGCTGACGAGGGGCTTCATATTACATCTGGCAGTACCCAGTAAGTGTGGTGCTCCACTGATTTTCAGAAATGGACAGTCCCCTGTCACCACCTAGCATGCTTGTTCCTGAAATGGCACAACCCACCACTTCCCGACTACTGCACCCTGGGCAGAACCATGGCATGCCTCTATTGAATACATAGCTAGGGTCTGATTAAGAGTGTTGAAGAGTTATGAATGCTTTAACTAAGGCTTTTCTGACTGTTGGGTACTGTAAGAAAAATTTTCAAGGCCACAGGCAGGAGTGTGGAGTGTGTCTGACATGTTCAGAAAGCAGGTGGCTCTGTCAGAAAGGGGACGGAGGGATGTGCACAGGGTAGGGACAAAGACAAGTCATCAGAGAGGACATGGAGAAGGACTTCAGGGCCTAAGGGCTCCCCTCAGTGTCCCAGTTATAAATGTGGCAGCATGTTACAAAAAGAGCTAGTAAACACCTAAGTCAATGATGGCAAGTATCTAACATGAACCCCCTGGCTCCTGAACGCACATATCTACCCATGCATGTATTTGCAAACACACACTCATACTCATGCGCACACACACACATGCCTGACAGTCTTTGATCAGTGCTCTGGGCAGCCACTTCCAATCAGTTAAGAGTTAGTGAACAACGGGAAACCTGTTTGGCATCCCTGCACTAGGTTACCTGACCAAATTAGACCTTTAGACAAATCCTGAGTGAAACCTGAAGAGATCTGAGATAACATATCAGGTAGGAGAAATCCACAAGGTACAGGCAGGCCCAAGGCAGTACACAAAACATGTTTGGGATTGAAAGTGCATTTCTGCTTCTTAGAGGGCAGGGGGAAAGAAGGTAAGCAGGTAGGATTTAAGAAAAGTATCTGGAAGCCACTTCATGGGGCAATAAGAATCCTTCATATGCTTTTACTAAGACAGCTGAAGCTGCAGCTTCAGAAATGCTATCTGCATGACAACTGGTAGAGCAAGGGAGAAATGATATGAGAGAAACCAGCCTGGCCACCTACAGTCCTAGGAAAGGCCTCCTTTACATTCAGTATGATGGTTAATGGGCAGGATCAGTGTGATGGTGTCTGCTTGTACTTAGGGTTTAGGTCTGACTATGAATTTTGTTCCAAATGATGACTTTCTATAATTGGAGGTTGGTCAAATTGACATTTTTTTCTTAAATTAAGAGTTTTATTTGGTATAGGAATGACAGAATCAGCACAATCTGTCCACTTAGGAAGTATGAAGGTATCTCGTGAAGGCCACTCACCTTGAGACAGCATACCAAGCCCAAATCCAGCTCTTGGGGCCAGAGGAACCTCCCAGAAGTCCCTCCATGCATCTGTGAAGGAGAGCAAAATTTATACTCCACACAGAGCAGGGAGGCCAAGACTTTCCTCTTCTCCTTGAGGCATTACTGAGCAGCAGCACAGCTGTGGGAAAGAAACAGGAAATGAGATTCTGGAGAACTTGGACATTGGTCCCTGTCCAAGGGGGAAGGAGAATTGCAAAAAAGAGAATGAACTGGAAATGGTGACTGAGCATATTAGACCTTTAGATAAATCTTGATTGAAAGAGATCTGGAGAGAATGTATGGACAAGGACCATACCCCTAGTATGAAACTACTTCAATTCCAGCCCTGGAAGGGTGTTTATAGTGCTTTGTTTTTCAGCTCCATCATTCTTCGGCAGAGACATGGCTGAATTGGGAGAGGTTGGAAGTACCTGGACACGATGAGAAGTTTAGGAGAGAGCTTTGTTGCTGAACCTTTTGTCAATGATATGTTCACTCACAGCTCTTCTAAACCTGTAGAGATTATTCCAATCCAGCTTTTTCCAAACTATGTTTGATAGTATAATATTGGGTCAAACAATTTTTGCTGCAAAACTTCTCAGAACACTGTGAATTGGGAACTACGAGAGTGGAGACTGAGCATGTTTCTCAATTCATCTTTCACAAGCCACTGCAGCCATGTGCCACTTGGTGCTCACTTTGAAAAAACACCTCAGCATGTTTTAGGCAGAGAAGATGAAAAGGCAAAGTAGAACAGGCCCATGCCTCAGGCTGTTATGCCCAGATCGGGAAGTCCCAAAGACCACCAGGAAGCTGATTCCGATGTAAGCACACGAGGGCCGTTTATTCAAGCTCGAGCAGGGGCTCCCAACCGTCACCGAGGCAGCGGATCAGAATTGAGAGCCCCGAATTTCAAATTAGCGGGGTTTTTATTGTGGTTACAGCCAGGTTTGGAGATTTTTCACTTAGCAGTTACATGATTGGTTGGCATTTAGCAAGCATGAAGTGTATATTTCTGATTGGCTAGGCCCATCGGGAGTTTGAGGGGCGGTTACATGTAGGTTTTGCAGGGGAAAAGAGAGACAAAGGTGAGTGGTCGACTGTCACGTACTGATGGTCAGCACATTGACAGATTGTTCTATAGATAGTGGACCCGGAACGTTCATTTCCTGGGCAAACAGATGGTTGAGTAATTAACTTAGGAACTTTGCTTCGTTACAGATTGTGTCTTTTGTCCCAGAGCAAGCACATTTTAACCATTAATTTGTGAGGACAATAGAGACTAGAGGAATAGTGGATTTTAGCAAAATGGAGTCGCTTTGGTCTCACAAGGCACCAGAGGAAGACTGTGGGTATGTGCTACTCTGGTGATGTCACCTGATCCTATGACCAGAACTGAAATATGCCTTGAACTCTGAAATAACGACTTCATTATGAAATCACAAGGCAGAATTTCTTTGACACTAGAAACTATATTTCAAGAATGAGTGTTAATCCCAGCACTGAGAGGCTGGGGCAGGAAGATGTCAAGTTCAAGCCCAGCCTGAGCAACTTAGATGACTTCAGGAAACCCTGTCTCAAAATTAAAAATAAAAAAATAACAAGGGCCAGAATGTAGCTTGGCAAAAAGGCAATGGTTTTGGTCCTCAGTACTGAAAAAAAAGAAAAAAAAAAGGTCAACTTCTTCAAAGCAATACCCTTATATCCTTGTGTTTGTTAATTGTTTTGAAAATTGTCCTTTTTGAAATGCAGACCAAGTTAATGAGCTACATAAGAAAATCAGTATTGCTTTTCTGCAAAAAGTAATTGCAACACATTTAGCAGACAAAGTGTTAATAAAAGGAGCTTTTACAAAATCAGTAAGAAAAAAGTAATAAATCAATAGGAAAATTGTCAATTTGCAAAATGGGAATTTAAATGGCAAATAAATATAGGAAAACAATACTACGCTAAAAATTAAATACACAAAACAATGAGATATTGTTATTCATTGATAAATATGCAAAAGATTGATTAAAGCGACTGTCAGCATCAGTAACCTATTTTTGCATTATGCACCACCAGAAAAATTCATCTGCTGGAAACAGTGAGCATCCACTAGCTTGCAAGTCTGCAAGTTGCCGCGAGGTTCTCATGTGAGCCGTACCCAGTGGGTGCAACTCTTGGCTGAGCTTGCAAGTGTGTTAGTTGTCAGCTGCTGGGTTGGCTGGAGACCAGCTGGTCCCAGAAAACCTCACCTGAAAGGCTGTGCTCAGCTCCATGCGGTGTCACATCCACAGCCTTGCCCACTCACAGGGCAGTTATGGTGGGGATCCCAAGAATGGGAGCCAGAGCTGCAACATCTGAACAGCAAAGGCTCAGAACTTGTATAACAGCCCTCCTGCCACATGCTAATTGGCCAAACTAAGTCACTAATGCAGTCTAAATTCAAGGAGTGAAACAGAAGGCCTTTCATTGGGAAGAAGGACAAAATATTGTAGCTAATTTTGCCATCACACACGGTAAGAATGAGGAAAATGGGCATTCTCTTGCACTGTTGGTAGGATCATAAACCAATAAAATGGTTCATGGGAAAAGGTTGCCAGTATCTAATAAATCCCTAAAAAATCTTAATGCTCTTTCATACATATACAAATATTTATTCAAAGGAACTGATTTGAAAAGTGTTAAATATGCCTGTGTCAGAGACCTTTGTTAGACAAGAGAAGGGGACTAAGGGAGAGTGGGAGAGCAGGGCAAAGGAGGGTAATGGGGAGATGGATATGATTGAAATGTATTATACACATGTATGAAAATACCACTTTGAACCCACTATTATGTTAAATTAAGGCACTATTTAAAATATTTTTTAAATTTTTAATAAAAATTCAGAAAAAGAAAAACGATTCCTATATCAGAATGTTCATCGCATCGTTGTTTATATTAACAAAGTATTTGGGAAAAGCAAAATACCTCACAAAAAGAGATTGTGTAAATGAATCATAACCCATCATAAAATAGAGTATTATCCAGCCATTTAAAATAATGACACATATTCACCAACATGTGAAGATTTAAATAAAAAAAGCAGATTACAAATAGTATATTTGCTATAATCCCACTTTTGAATTTTTAGATGTAGAAATTAAGTCTGAAATGATTTTCTCTTTTTCCTTTGTACCTGTTTGAACTATCCAAATTTTTGTTTTTGTTTTAATTCTACTTGGGCCTTTTTGTTTTGGTGTGGTTAGTATTTTTATTTAAAATAACATTCAGAAAAAATTACTTTTTTTGGTACATAGTGTAGTTCTGACTTTTAACACATACCAAGATTCATGTAACAATCTCCATACTCAGGATATAGAACAGCTGTACTCCCCCCCAAATTCCCTGGTCCAGATCTAATTTTCCCATTACTTCTAAGAGTTCCTTGTATTGTTTAGAAAGATTTCTTGGTATCGCTGCACCATCAACTGTTTATCCATTCATTTGCTGAAGGACATTTAGGTTGTTTCCAGTTTGAGGTAGTTATGAGTAGAGCCACTATAAACATTTATATACAGGTTTTTGTGTGAAGATAATTTTTCATTTCTCTAAATTAAATGCCCAAGAATACAGTTTTGGGTTTGTTGGTAAATATATGTTTTGTCTTATAAGAAACTGCCAGCCTGGCACCTGTATGGCCAGCTCCTCAAGAAGCAGAGGCAGGAGGATCACTTAAGCCCATGTATTCCAGACCAGCCTGGGCAATATAAGACCAATCTCAAAAAAAAAAAAAAAAATGAACAAACAATATCTCATTGTGGTTTCGATTTGCCTTTTCCAAATGGCTAGAGATGCTGAATATCTTTTTAAAGGCTTATTTTCCATATGAAATCTTTTTAAATAAAATATATGTTCCTTTGCCCTTTCACAATCATATTGCCATTGCACATTTATAAAAATTTAATTTTCCATAATCATGTTGGCCAGTCCCACCGATGTATGTTATCTGTCCTCTTGCCAGTATCACATGGTTGTAACTATTGTAGTTTTAATAATTTAAGTAGTGGCAATACTTTGACTTTTTATTTTTAAATTAGTTGTCATTCTAATTATTGTGCCTTATCATCTAAATCTTAAAATCACATTATCTCTATAAAATTCTCTGAAGAGTTCGATTTAAATTACATTAAATTTATAGATCAGTTTAGACAGAATTTACAACCTCACAATATTGAATTTTTCAAATTATAAACATGGTATGACTCCCCCATTTATGTAAATCCTCTTTAATTTGTTTGGTGCCATTTTATAGTTTTCACCATACAATTACTGCATATGTTTGGAGGTTTTTGTTTGTTTTGAATTTATACCTAAGTATTTCTATTTTTGAGGTATGAGAAATGGTAATTTTAACTCTGAATGCTGTGACCATGATAAATTCTCTTACTAGTATGAACAGCTTTTCCTTTTACATTACTTGACATTTTTATGAAGACAGATACATCACCTGTAAACAGAACAACAATATGCCTTTTATTTCTCTTTCTTATCTTAGTGCACTGGGAAGTACTCCTAGTTCAATGGTATTAGGAGCAGTGAGAGGGAACATCTGTGACTTTTTCCCAATATTAGAGAAAAAGTACACTATTTTTCACCATTTAAAATGCTGTAAGCTATATACTTTTTGTGGATGCCCTTTTTCAAATTAAGAAGATTCTCTTCTATTCCTGGTTTGCTATAAGGCTCTCTCATGAACGGATATTTTGCTTATAGATAGATGTTTGCTCATAAATTTTGTCAAATGCATCCTTCTAACTCAATTGATATGTTTCTGCAGTTTTCTTTGCCTATTAATATAGTGAATAGCATATATTAATTTTCAGACATTAAACCTGCTTTACATTCCCAAAATAAACCAAATATGTTTATAGTATATTATTCTCTTCCTATATTGCTGTAATTAATTGAATAACACTTTGTGTTGATTTCATTGTACAAACACTTTTTGTTTTTATGTTTCTAAGGGACATTGATCTGTAGTATTCTTAGGCTGTCTTTGGTTTTGCATAAGATTAGTAATATTCTCATAACATGAGTTATGAACTGTTCATTTGCTTGTTTTCTGAATGATTTTGTGAAGAATTGATGCTATTTCTTTCTAAATATTTGTTAGAATTTACCAATGAGATAATCTGAGCCTAGCATGTCTTAGAGGTTTTAAACAAGTTTAATTTTAAAAGTAGATATACAAATATTCAGGCTATCTACTTCTTGAATGAGTCTTCTGTGATAGCTTGCAACTTTCAAGAAATTGGTCCATTTCCTGTAAGTTGTATAATTCATGTGTATAAAGTTTTTTGTAATATTTCTTCATTACTTTAGAATATGTAGGGGACTGTGGTGATGTCCCCCATTGCATTCTGATAGTAGTATCTTAACTCCTGGTTTGTGTTTGTTGGTTTTTTTTTTCTTGGTTACTCTAGCTAAAGGTTTATCAATTTTACAGATCTTTTCAAAGAACTAGATTTTGGTTTAATTCAGTATTCTTTATAGTTTTATTTTTAATTTCACTGATTTATTCTCATATTTATATCATTTCTTTCCTTTGACCTGTCCTGGATTTTATTTTTCATTACTTCTCTAGCCTATTAAGATGGAAGCTTAGATTAGCAATCCAAACTCTTTCTTTTTTTCTGATGTAAGAATTTAATACTACTAATTTCCCTTGACATATTTCTTTGGCTTCATAGCACATGTTTTGAAATACTGGATTTTAATTTTTTTTCCCCATTAACTTTATTGGTACATTTTAGGTATAAAATACAGTTATATTCATCACTGGGATCTTGTACCATTACATGAGTCTCTTGGTTCTTTTTTTTTTTCCC